CCGAGTCTTCTCCTTTTGCAAAAGTTTGGCCATAAAATTCATATACGTTGTCTGTGGTTCTTTTATGTAGGTTCAGAAAAAATACCTACCATGACTAAATTCAGGAATTTAACTGTTGTAAAAAGCTTAAAATAAGATAAATATTTATTTGTACTTGTATTTATTCATTTATCCACAGTTAATGACCTCTCCTAGGTAGGACTTTTATCGCTTTGGATAAAAGTAAAAGGTCCAGTTTATCCAAAGCACTAAGTAGCAAATTAGTGCTATCTGGATTACTTATAAAAATGGACCACACGGCCGCCGGAGCCATTTCAAGCATTTGACATGATGAGCTGAGTTCATCTTTAAGAATGAAGACTCAGTTTCATATTGTTGTATGGGACTGAGCAGTTTCATCTGGGTCTAGGCAGCAATGTTTTATGGGAAAGCAATGCTGTAGCGTGGTTTACACCATTATGCAAGGCGATATATAATTTAATGACATGGTTAAGTTTTATTACAGTTCATAATCACTTATGAAAAAAAGGGTCAACCGACTGTCAACCAAGTGTCAGAATCGGAGAATGGTGTAGTATGAAACAGAATATTATGTGAATTTCAGTATTTGTAGGATCGTAACTCTCAATAATTAAATCAAAAATACTTTACTAGTAAAGAAAACAACCAATGCCCAATTGTTAGATATATGGGTACAAGATGGTTTGTCTGCGGATAGTAAACGGACGTAGAACATGACAAATTTGTAAGGTGTTGGTACTGGATCAGCGCATGAAATGCCAAGGTGGCAAGCTGACCTCGATCCCAGCCCCACTCCATCCTACAAACACTGAAATCTGCCCCAATGCAAAAAATTGGCCTGTATTAAATCACTAGATTTTGCTAAAAATCACATTGCTTCTCACCAGCTGAGATGCTTGGGATGGGATGTTCGTGTGGATAGATGTCAAAAAGGCAGCCAAGTGGGATAATTTAACTAACTCTATACAAATATGATTCCTTCACATTCCCAAGAGCTTCTCTTATGTAATACACGATGACAGAGTCAATTGAAGGCAGGGGCTGAGATTATGTATAGGTCTGTCTGCATGTTGAAATACATGGAGCTACTATTATGTCTTCCCAACATAACTTAAATAAATCTTAAAGCAGTTGATGTGCTGAAGTTTCCACCAGCGGCACACAAAAGCTGGATGATAATAATTCAGAGCAAAAATATTTTCATGTCACATAGTGACCCAATCAAGGTCCAAACACAAAACTGCAAATGTGAAGTTTCAGTTGGTCACATCAATCTATATGAATGATGTTTCCGCAGAAAATGAGATCTGCAAAGACAATCTGAACATAGTTTTAAGTTAATATGAGCATCTTTAACAGTTAGTAGCAACATCAGAGTGCCTCCAGTTTCAGGTAACAATCAGTGCACGGTGTTCTGTTTTGTGCTTCGTCCAGGAGACAAGAAAACTCATCACACTTTTGGAAGAAAAACACCTGATTAGTGCCAGGGAGGCTACGTGCCGCTCTGACAATCCATCTGTTGTTTTGTTGTACCTGATTTCCAAACTGTCACCTGGTAAACAGCACAAAACTCTCCCTCCATCCCTCACTCAGAGCCATACTGCAGGCAGGTTTTATGTGTTACACGTCTGGCACGTTCCCATTTATCGCACCGTCTAAAAACTCTGCCGAACGAACGCAACGTGCAGGAACATCTACGCAGAACCACCGGCAGCAGGAAAGTGTCACAAATTTGGCTTATTTGTGACACCAAGTCAAATTTGTTCATTTGTGTTACTGGGCATTTCATTTTGTTAAAGGTCAGAGGAAGGTTAGTTGCTGCAAAACAAACGCAGAAAAAAAATCATTTTTGGGGTGTTTGATCCAAGACAAAGAAATGCTGACCGTTTGCCACACAGAGGATAGGAAAATGCTCCACAACATCAACACACGTGTTGAGGAAAATTACAGTCAACAGAGCAACTGTATAAACTTAAGACATTTCCAGTCAGCTCAAAACGTTTCTGAATATCAAACCAGGATGTCAAATCTGAATCCGACCTCCATTACCTTTTCTTTAAAACTTTTAAATTTGAGCATATTTCGAAGATGATTAAGTAATGGCTTAGAAATGAGTAGATAGGAAAAACAACCAAACACCCAAAAGAAAAACCAACTGTCCAAAATCACTTCATGAGGCTGCAATTAAATCTGTCACTTAGACTTTTTCACAGCATTGCTGGGTAAACGTACGACTGTAAAGGAAAAAACAGTGTATACCTGCAGAACACCTTCAACTTGCTGGAAAATAAGGAATAAACTCCATCACACAGTCCCTCTTTACAGAGAGTTCGGTTTCGGACCTAATTAGAGGATCTCTAGCCGTCTTATCGCACTTTCACTGCTCTACATTTTCTGTCTCTCCAGTTCCCAGAGGAGTAGGAGGAGAGGAGAGAAAAATCTGATACCCCACCTGCTGAGGTACTTCACACGGGAAAGGAAAATACAATCCGAACGCCATCTGCAACCACAATACGAGACAAAAAAAAAAAAAAAAAAAAAGCTGATTTTATCTGCTCAAGTTCTAACAAAATAAGATGTGGGAATTTGATATCTACGGTATCTGTACGAGAAAACAAACTGTAGTCTGCTCACTTGTCTGTTTGTATAAACCAGAGTATTTCTGCACACTTTAATGCAAGCTGTCATCCAAGTCCCCATTTAACGGCGTATCCAGACACATTTGCGAGGGCGTCTGAAATCTTCTGACAGGCTGAATTCAAATGATTCTCCCTCTTTTTCTTTCCATGTATCTTCTGAAACTAAGCAAGTTCCGACCGCGCTCGTAAAAATTATACATCCATCACTGTTGCCCTTAAATTACAGTTATCGTTCAAGTACTCGTCCCTTTGTCCTGCTTCACAAGTATATTTTTCATCACAATGACAAGTAACATTTGATTTGTGGTTTCTGCTGGAAAGGAAATCAGCAGAAAATGACTTCATCGCTTCAGCGTGATGACTAATACTAAGGTTTAAAGTAAAACACTTGAGTTGTATCTAAAAAAAAAAGATTTAGAATATCTTAAGATCTCGATGTTAATGCTATTTATAAATATGGTTCTCAGTGCAGTTCTATATAAATTTTTGTTGCATATTTCTCTTTCTCTGTAATTAGTTTGAACTTTTTGACTTTCATATGGAGTTGATATTGCTTGGTTATTTTTCCAGCTATATTTAAAACCAATCCTCCCATTTCTATGCAGCAAATTTGTGTGTGTGTGTGTGTGTTTTTTTTTTTATCTAATGTCTCATCATGCAGCAGGGGAACCTCAGGTCTCGGGTATTTGGTTATTTAAAAAACAGTATCTCCAACTTAATCTGGAGATAAAACTGGTCATCAGAATCCTCTCTAAACCTTCCTACCACAGCCGAGTCTGCAGATGTTGTTCTAAAAATATGCTACAGTAATATAAAATATGGCTTCAGGGGCCCCCTGACACTCGGGCTGCTGGGTTGTGTTTACTCTTACCTGCAGCTTCATGCACATCAAAGGTCTAAGAGGCAGTTTGCTTTGCCTTCTTTGCAGCTCGCTAACCCTTACGGAGTTGTTGATTTGCACGGTGAGACCTTTCAAAAATGATTTTAAAGGTACGAATCTTAATTAGACCGAGAAATATATATATATATTTTTTTCAGAACGCAGTGGTTTACTGGCCTGTTGCATGAAAATCCCATCTTATCCTTTTAAAAGTTGCACCATGACAGAGAGTTTGGTTAGCTTTAGCAATGAAGTATATTTTGAAAATTTCTACCGAGAGACGGACTTATATACATGAGTTTAAAACTAGCAGATTGAAGAGTGAAGTCAGAAACATGAGCATTATACAGTGCAGTTGCAGAAAAACAATATTTTTCATAGAATTACAGATGTTTAAACTCTGACTGTCATGCAACACGCTCAACTTGAGATGGAAATTTTCCAGATGAGGAATTTTATTTATTTGGGAAGAAAACATGTTAGAGATGGTTTAAAAAAAAAAAAAAAAAAAAAAAATCTGCTTAATGATCAATTTCTTATAAACAGGATCCTAATTTACATTTCTCCCTCATATGCGGTTCTGACCGGAGGCTTACATAAACTTATTGAGGACATCAATTTTACATTAATTTAGGACTTTTAATTCTTATTTATTTGAACTGGGTAGAATGAATATACCTGAGAGAAGTCATTTCACGCACAGATTTTAATTAAATGTTCAAAATTATACGTGTAGTCCCAAAATGTAAAACGTATATGCAAACTTGAAGCACAACCATGACGGCGACTAAATCATACATGAATATGTTTTATGCATGTTTGGAGGAACATGAAGGCTATCCTCTTTGGCACTCAGCATAAAATTTACAAGAACCTAGAACAAAATAACAAAAGCATATGTAGTATGTGTTACAAATGCTAGTTTTAATAATCATTTATTGGTTTTAAAGAGCTAAATCTTTCCATTGTGGATCATGGTGTTGCAAATTTCAGCATCACTGCAACAAACTACAATTTAAAGAGCAGAATAAATACTGTGGAATCAAATCCCATCATTTTGTTCTTTACCTTCGGTGCCCCGGACCCTTAAAATACTTGAGGCTTAAAATACTAAGCCTCAACAGCTTTTTGTTTCTAAAATTCATGACTTGCTGTCGCCATCCGTCTCCCCTCAGCTTCACCTGTTTCCCAATTTATTCTGCCTCCTCTGCAGTTTATGCCTGTCATTTCGCTTCTTATTTATCGATTCTTCGTTTCATTGACTTGCATTCATCACCACCCAGCTTCTATTCCCTCGCTTTTTAATTATTTTATCTGTTATCTTGTCTTCAAGTTGTCTGCTTCTTATCGCTCTCTTTCTCCCTGTGGCAGTCTAACACGCAGAATCCCAAAAGCACCTTTGGTGAGAGAACGTTCTTTCTGTTCTGGCTGATAGATTATGATCTGACTTGTCGTTACAGTTCAGCAGAATAAACAACGTTAGTGTTGAGGAGGAGACGTACTGTCTGGGGTTTGCCAACGGCACCTGCTGTGCCAGGTGGACGCAGCTTGGGAAGAAGAAAGATGGACACGAGGGACAGAAGGACGCAGACAGAAAGTAGCAAAGTAGGACATAAGCTTGGCAAAGAAAACTAAGGTAACAATGGCTTAACAGTGCCTGGCCTTGTAAAAAAATTTAAATATAATAGGAATTAATGTATGTATGATAAAAAAAAATAAAGTGAAAACATAACTAGTTTTAATCATTGAGGCAAAAAAAACAAAAAAAAAAACGACGTGTTGTGGCTCTCTAAAGTGTGTATAGCCCCATTCAAATGCTAATTTTTTCTTTTTCATTTAAAAAATTGTGACGAATCAAAATGTTGTACCTGTATGTTTTAACACAAGTTAATTCACCAGAAAAACAAACAAAACGATGAAAAGACGAGACTGAGACAAAGTCGGAGAATCTGCCAAGAAGTTGAGAGCAAAACGGAAGAGGTTTTCAATAAACACAGGTTTAGTGCTCTGTCTGTATGTGTCAGTAATCCTCTCCCCTGTATGTCTGGAATGAGCAGCAGAACTACTTTCTCCCATATGAAACCTCCAGATGTGGCTAAAACATTGTGAGAAATTCTGTTTTGGGCTATATTTCCAAATGACATGTTTTGTACAAAACAAACACACACACACACACACAAAAAAACACACTCCATTTCCGAGAAAGAACATCATACCCACCATCGTGCTCTGGGGTTACGTTTCTCCAGATGGGGGTGAGGCGTTCGTGAAGTGAATAAAGTTGTGAACATTTCCAAATTTCAGTAGTTTTTGCTCAAAACCAGCAGTTGTTTTCTGAGCAGAAGACGAGGAGGGAATTTCATTTTTCAGTATCGCAGCGAGTTCATGCAAGTTTCTCAATCGGTAAAAGAAAAAGTAAAAGAAATAAAAGTTTTGGCTTCAAACTAAATTTAAAAATGTTAAATTTTGACTTCAGTTTTTTTGATTTTCACCGATAACCTTTTATTTTTTTGTACTTGCACAGTAAACAAACAGAATATCTCCGTATGACAAAGCCACAGCCGTCTCCTTAACCTGAACTGACAAATAAACACCGTCTTCATACACTGCCACCATGATTACATGCCGTTGGAGCACATTAGTACAGAGCTAATCACTTTTTCTTTCTGTAATCCAGGCCTCATGAAGAAACAAATGCATGAAAATCTATCTTGTGAAAGACACAGGAGACACAGCAGAGACACAACTGTGTCAACACGCGATTCCAACGGCAACTACATTATTTGACGCGTTAGAACTTTCATACAAAAAGGAAACATCTGTACCTCCTGGGCTGTCATCTGCTTGTTTTTACATGTTAGTAACTCTTCCTTCGATTATTTAATATTAAGATGAGTGGCTGCAGTGTTATTAAAATTGCTTCTCGGTAAAAGGGATTAAATTCGATAAACATTTGTTTTGACAGGAGGCTTTTGGTTCTGCTTTCCCACATTAAACCGTCGCCTCGTGACTTCAGCCATCAGAGACGGTGGGAGAGCTAGTTACTCCATCGTAGTTCAATAGTCCAGAACCCTCTTATTAAAGCAGCACAAAAGACTAATTATATCTGCAGTGCTTTGATTTACATGCAATTAAAGTTTCATGTGAGCCCAGATAAAGCAGACGAAGGGGTAGGAGGAGGACGGGAGAGAAGTGACAGGCTAGAAGAGGTGGTGGTGGTGGTGGGATGAAGACGAGGGAAGATTAAAGAACACGGCAGCCACTGAAGCAGATTTCTTAAAGCCGTAAGAAAGGAAAAGAAAGAAAGTTGTTGACAGCGAGAGAGGCGAGGAGAAAAGAATAGATGGGGGGGGAAAAGACCAGAGAGGAGAGGACATGTGAGGCAAGCCATCATTTGGCAAGAGAAGTGATGACACAGCACATCCATCTCCGTGGCAGGTGCCTGCTGTTGCTCCTTTAGAGACGGCAGGGAGGGAGGGGGGAGGAGAGATCTGCCTCACTGCCACAATGTCAACACACTACAACAGACTATAAATACTGTTCATATTATTGCCTGAAGCATGCATTTATTGAAATGACACTGCAAACTGTGGTGTTGTGCAGGCACACTTTGCAGAACTCTATCTTCCACGTTATTTTATCAGTCAAATAAAACAACCTCAAGTGTCGATACAATGCAAGAGCAAAGAAACGCGTTTCCTCTCCCAGGCTGCGAGAACAAAAGAACAGGATTCTGTTCTCGCAGCTCGTTTGTTTTCCCCTGTAGATAGTGTCCAGCAAACACTCTGATTGAAATATGAAATATAGGCTAAACGTGCAAGTATGGATCCTACACTGAGACGCTGCGTGTGAAGGCGATCAATGACAACTTTGCGAGAGTTCTGCATTTGAGAGTCTTGCGAAGTATGAAATGTGTTGAACAAAAAGAACTTTGTTTTTTGTTCTTGCCACCTCAAGTAAGAGAACAAAAGTGTCTAAGTTGTGTTTTTTCACTTTGACCCCATATTTAGCAAGTATTTAGAAAAACTACCAACTCAAAAAAAAAAACAAATCTGTCAGTTTTTTTTTCTAACGTACATAAAGATTTTGACAGCATTTTGTTTTTTTTGTTATGACAAAAACAAGGATCCTTCTTGCACTTCTCTGCAAGCATCTTTTTGGGGTTCTCTTTTTTTTAATGAATGTTTATGTGAGCAACACACTACCTCATAATTTCTTCGGGATTAATAAAGTACCATCTAACCTCATCAACGATGGGCCTCCTCCTCATCCTAAAGTACTCACTTACATAGCTGGATAGACCAGTAACCCCAAACCTTATATACAGCTACAATGGCAGATTGTTACAATTACAAGCACATGGTGAATTATGTAAATTATTAGGCGTCTAATTTTAAAATACTAAATTTGGTGTCGGGGACAAAAAACAAATCCTAAATGAGACATCATTATGGTAAATGTTTTCTGGCGATTGAGTTGCATCGTGGATTATTCCAGATTAGGTTTCTTTCATCTTCGGTCATTTATGTTTTGATGCTGCTATTTCGTATCTTTTGATGTGGCCAAATATGAGCTATTTTTCTGCTTCAATGTCAAACCTGTACTTCATTTTTTTTTTTCCCCTTTCGCTAAAGCTGTTCTGTAGCCGAGACCCGATTCCTCGGCATCCAGATTTGGTTATGTAACACTGTAGTTTGTAAGTCAGTAATCGTACCCTGGAGCCTCTTGATATTTCCATTTGAAGGCACTGCGCCGTGAGAAGGTAATGTGATGGATGCATCCTGACGAGGAACAAAACAGTCAAGCGAAATGGGAGGGAACTCAGAAGAGTGAAACATGTGAGAGTGAAAACATAGGTTTCAACATAATGTCCAGATAATGCAACATAGCAAAAAAAAAAAAAAAAGTGTCTGTGATCCTAAGCATACAAAAACAGGCTTCCCGTGTGTGTGGGTGTGTCATTTGATGATCATTAACGCATCAGCCAGACATACCAACCGTTTCTGGGTGAGCTTCTCAAAGGCCCGGGTCGTAAATAACGCCCAGAAAATAACAGAAGGGAGAAAGGGAATGAAAGCTAGATGAGGTGGGGGGGAAGGCGTAATAACAACAAAAGCAATAAAAAGGAAACCCATTTTCCCAGCTGTGATCTCTAGCTTCTGTACAGACAGGCATTGTGTGTATGCCTGTGAATGTGAGCATCTGTGAGTGGATGTGTTTGAAAGGGATTTTTGTGTGTGTGTGTGTGTGTGTGTGTGTGTGTGTGTGTGCCCACTCAGCCCGCAAGTGAGTCACATCATCTTATCAATCACCCACTTACTCTTAAACCCATGATGCTTTTTCATGACAGAACCACCCAACAAAGTTACAACAGACTCATAATAAACATTTAACACATCTACACTCACAAGCAGAATATTTTGTATGTGCGGTTATCGCTTTTAAATAGGCAGAAAAAAAAACTAACCTTGACAAACGGAGACTAAATATAAAAATAGGGTATGTTTTCCCCCTTAGTTTACAATCAGATCTAGCAAAGACTGTTCTCTGTTAAGATGAAAGTGAAAAGCTGTTCAGGTTGAGAGAAATGAATGACACCAGTATGTCATCTGCTCCTTTTATTTCCAGTGAAAAGGATCCAGCTGGTTTGCATGTCAATTGATTCAGAGCACCTTCCAAATAGATGTACAGCTGGAGGTGCTCCAGGGATGGCGTGAGCACACGTATGCGCGCACGCACACACACACACACACACACATTCCCCTATTATACAATATTCTAAGCGTGCTTCTACAACACCTCCACGTGCACATTTATTTAATTTTACAGGTGCATCTAAAAAAATTGAAAAATAATCAAAAAGTTTGATTCAAGAATTAATTTCAAAGGATTAAAAAGTTCTTTCATGACAGAAATGATGGCATACTGAAAAGTACATTGATGTTTTGTACAGTCTATGCACTCAGTAGTTGGTAGGGAACATTTTACATGAATTATTGCTTCAAAGCAGCATGCAAGCCTCTGCTGAGGCGTTATGGAAGTCCAGGTTGCTTTAATAGTGGCCTGCAGCATTGTTGGTTCTGGTGTCTGTTGACTTCCTTTTGATTATATCCCATATGGTATTTAAAGAACAGCGATGTTATGGTCATTAAACAAAGCAATCATACTTATTACAGTAAGGGCAGATGCCAAGCAGGCTTAGAAAATGAAATCAGCATCTCCGTGAAGTCAGCAGAGGGTGAAACATGAAGTGCTTTAATTTCTTCCGGCTTTGGAGTCAATAAAACAAAGTGGGAAATATCAGCAGATGACATGATTCCCCAAATCATCACTGACTGTGGAAACTTCACTCCGGACCTCAAGCAACTTAGTTTCTTTGCCTCTGCACTCTTCCTTTAGAGTCTGGCACATTGATTTTCAAAAGAAAAATGTGCATTTTAATTTTAACTGAAAGGAGAACCTTGGAGCAATCAGCAACACAATGTAACATAATTTTCTACATTTCAAATAATCTTGTTGGCTTATGCAGTATTATATTTTACTGCATTGTATATAAACTGGATTCTGTGTTTTTATTACCCATGGGGCATAATCTTCAGGAATAAAGATAAACAGGAATAAATACTTTAAATATAC